AACTTCACATCCCTAGTTACTTTTTTATCACTTCCGGTGCTTGCTTTCTTGCTTTATATCTTCACCTCCCTACCCTACACCAAAACACCACCAAAAGTTTCAAAGATATGAAAGAGCACTTTCTTAATGTTCCTGGCTTGTTACCAGTTCTTGCCACTGACATGCCGAAGCCTTTTCTTGAGCGGGACAATAAGGCCTATCAACACTTTCTTGATTTTGCCACTCAAGTCCCTCAAGCAGCTGGGATTATGATCAACACATTTGAATTCCTGGAGTCCAAAGTTGTTAAGGCAATATCAGATGGGCTCTGTGTGCCCCATAACCCCACCCCACCGATTTATTGCATAGGTCCATTGATTGTAGCTGATGATAAAAGAGGTGGTAGCAGCAAGACTAGTCCTGATGATGATGTGCCTGAGTGTTTAACTTGGCTTGACTCCTAACAAAGCCAAATTGTGTGTATCTTTGTTTTGGTAGTTCGGGGCTCTTCTGCAAGGAGCAGCTGAGGGAAATAGCGATTGGTTTGGGAAAAAGTGGCCAAAGATTTTTGTGGGTGGTTCGGGATCCACCTTCTCGTAATCTAAGTGTATCCATCAAAGCAAATGGAGAACCTGATTTGGATTCTTTACTTCCTGATGGATTCCAGGAAAGTACTAAAGAGAGGGGACTAGTGGTGAAATTATGGGCTCCACAAGGTGAAATCTTGACCCACAGTTCAGTAGGTGGATTTGTGACTCACTGCGGGTGGAATTCTACACTTGTAGCAGTTCGTGCTGGTGTGCCATTGGTATTTGGTGGCTTGGCCATTGTATGCAGAGCAAAGGCTGAATAGGGCAGTGCTAGTGGAGGAAATGAAGCTTGCTTTGCCAATGAACGAGTCTGAAGATGGATTTGTAAGTGCTGAAGAGGTGGAGAAGAATCCTAGAGGATTGATGGTGTCTGATGAAGGTATATTGATTAGGGAGAGAGCACTTGCTATGAAAAATGCAGCCAAGGCTGCAATGATTGAAGGTGGTTCTTCTCATGTGGCACTGTCCAAGCTTGTCGAGTCATGGAACTAAGCATGAAATTTACTTGGTCTAGTTTAGGACTCTGTCATGTTGGTCATCTACGATCGATGCTGTTGGTACTTCCATTTTCTTATTGTACATGTACTTGTCACCTGTTATGGTGTCGTTTTGCATAGCAACATTGCTTCATGAATAAAACAAAAATATCAGTTATGGTATAGTAGAATTCTTCCTAGAGCCCATTTGGCTACGCGGTGGAAACTGCGTGCGTAGCCAAATGAAACCGCACTGTTTTTCCACACCATTGCAGGGAAATGGATGCAGAGGAATCATCTAATGGCGAGGTTATGAGGAGGATTGGGCAAAACAGAAATTAAAAATCTCTGAAAACATCTCAAATTAAGTCACTTTTAGTCAACCACATCATATGTTTGGTGGCATGATCAATGAGTTAAAGGTTTAAAACCAGTGCATTAATAATAGCCAACTCAGTTACAGTATCTAAAGGTTTTCTTCCATGAAACAGATCGCTTCGATTCATGATCTCCTGCACTGGCATGGTGGGCTTCCTCCATTTTAGGCTGTTGTTGAGGAACATACTGAAAGCTTTTGCACTGAATCGGTCCGGTTGTGGTTGGCAAGACATTGCATTCCTGTTTGTTGGTCATCATTTTGAATAAAAATTCATTATACAATGGCTGGTTAGTGAGTAAGAGCTATCTCTACCCAATTTTTTTATTTAATAGTGATTATTTATGTATATCTCAATTAATTCTTTGTAATTCTGAAGTTAATAATTATATAAATATTCAATAACTTTAAAATTTATAACAATCAAACTAATAACTTCTAAAAAAATAAATTTAATATCTAATGAGTTGAGTTATACCTTTTACATTTATTTATAATCATATATATATATTTTTTTTTATTTATAACCATATATTTTTTTTTTAGATTAACGTGAGTGTCCGGGCCAGCTTGCGCGCACCACGACTAATCCCACGGGCCCTGAAGTTAACGACCATGAAAGCCTCCAGTAGCCATCATATGAGCAACCAAGGATTCGAACCTGAAACCACAGAGGGAACAAACCCCTTGATCCCAAGTTTTTACCACACTTGACCACCACCTAGATGGTTTATAATCATGTATTAAATGGCCTAAAGGTGGTGGTGGGTATAGAACTGCGGCTCCTGTATCGCGGCTGAACCCGGCTAAGTTTTTTTTATTTGTTTTATTGCCCCCTTTTCTTTTATTTTTTTGGATATTTTTTTAATTTATAGTTTTTATGAAATTTTATTTTTTAGTTAATATTAAAATTAATTTTCATAATTTTTATTATATAATAATAAAAAATTAATTTTACTTCATAAAATTCATAAGTTAAGGTGTAAGTTTAGTTGATTGACTAAATATTAACTAAAAAGTTAAATAAAAAATTTTCTAACTTAAAAAATTATACCTAATTTTAATTTTTTTTTGTAATTTTATTATTTAATGTAGGGTTTTTATTGAATTTTATTTTTTAATATTGAATTGATAATAAATTGAATTTTTTTATATTTTTTATTATATAATAATACAAAAAATTAATTTGAAATAATGAATTTTATAACCTGCATTATTGATAGGTGTGTGAAATATTAATGAAATAGCTCGAACGAGATCACTGATGATAAAACTAGTCTATTTTATAAAAAATCATTTCAGCATACTTGGTTTTTTACCAAATTTTCTCCTATTTGTTTTCATGCCAAATCAGCAATTACATGTCACTAAAAGCCAATTTGATTAAAAAATATATGCATTCAATAGACAATAGAAGAACCAGTTCAACTCTAAACCATTTCTATATATAGCTTCATATCCAAAAAATAGATTTTCAATTCAATGGCGATGAGAAAAAGTTTTTGCTAAACCTCATAAATATAAATCCTTAATTTTAAAATCTAACCATCTCTTACATAGTTTTTAGTTGCGGTATCAGTGATAAAATAAATAAAAATAATTGAGGTAGAGAAATCATGTTTTTTTTGTACTTTTTTATTTAAAAGAATATAAAAATTCATTCCAAAAATATTATAAATATAAATTTATTTTATATCTATCTATACATGTTTTAATATCTTTTACTAGATGTCATGTACATGCAATGTCACGGGCTTGTGGCATTTTTATGCGTTGTCGAGAGTTCGTGGAAAAATAAAAATAAAATTACATAAAGAAAAATGGTTATAAGATACGAAAAATGGTTATAAGATACAATGTTTTTAAGGAAAAAACTACAAAACGAAATTTTTAACCAACTTAATATTAAAAAAATAAAATTAACTAGGAAAATTTTAGAAAAAATCATAACCAAAAAAATAAAATAAAAAAATAATTTAGAGAAACACTACAACAATCTATAATGTTTCTATAATGTTTCATAATTAAATTTATAGTTGCAATTCTCAAATAGCTCGATATTAAAAATAATAAAATTGATAAAGATGATTTTAAAAAAAATCATAACAAAAAAAATCATATAGGGAAATCCATAGTGTTTTTTTTTTTAAAAAATATAAAGCTAAATTCTCAACCAATTTAATATAAAAAAAATCAATAAAGATAATTTTTTAAAAAAATTATAAAAAAGAAAAAAAAACATTTGGGGAAACACAGTAGCAATCCATAGTGTTTTTTTTAAAAAAAAACTATAAAGCTATATTTTTAACCAACTTCATATTAAAAAAATAAAATCAACAAAAGCAATTCTTACAAAAAACAAAAGAAGAAGAAGAAGACACTTTAAAAAACATATAGAGAAAGTTAAAGCTAAATTATCAACCAACTCAATATTTTTTAAAAAAATAACAAAGATAATTTAGGAAACAAATATATGGAGAAATACTGTAGTAAAACAAAAATCATGTAAAAAAATATTGTAACAATTCATAGTGTTTAAAAAAAAACTATAAAATATAATTCTCAATTAGCTTAATATGAGAAAAACTAAAATCAACAAAGATCATTTTGAAAAAAAAATCATAAAAAAATCATGTATGTAAACATTATAGTAATTCATGATATTTTAAAGAAAAAACTATAGAAATAAATTTTCAATCAGTTCACTATTAAATTTTTTTGATAAAGATAATTTTAAAAAAATAATAACAAAAAAAGAAAGAAGAGGGAGACAATCTTGGAAAAAAATGAAAAAAAAACATTTAAAACAAAAAAAAATATATAGAGAAAGCTACAGTACTTTCCTTACGTGTTTTAGAATATTATTAATTTTGAAATCAGATATATAGAAAAATATTATAGTAAAACAAAAACCATGAAGGGAAATATTGTCATAATTCAACGTGTTAAAAAAACTATGAAGAAAATTCTTAACCAACTCAATATGAAAAAAATTAAAATCTACAAAGATTATTTAAAAAAAAAAATCACAAAAAATTATACAGATAAACATTGTAGCAATGCATAATCTTTTAAAGAAAAAAACTATAAAACTAAATTCTTAATTATTTCAATATTAAAAAAATTAATAAAAATAATTTGAAAAAACATAATAACAAAAAAAAATACTAAAATAAAAAAAAGAAGACATAATAACAAAAAAAATACTAAAATAAAAAAAAGAAGAAGAAAATCTTGGGGAAAAAAAACATGTAAAACCAAAACAAAGGGAAAAAAACAAAAAAAATATGAGGAAAAAAAAACAAAATACCAAAAAACAAAAAAAACAAAAAAATAAAAAGAAAACTACAGTAATTTTCTTATGCATTTTAAAGTATTAGTTAATATTTTTTGTTTTCTAAAAATTTGTGTTAACAATGAGAAACTTATTAAAAAATATATTATAAAATTCATCCAATTAGTTGAATTTTTTTAATAAAACCAAAATATTTATTCACGAATCATGAGCTAATCCTATTGTTTTCTCGAGCTTTGGGCCAATTTGAAGCCAGACTTCAATGTTCAAATCCTAACTGAGCCCAGAACAAAAGCCACCAGCACAAGCCCTCAATCTCCAGCACCTTGCAGCCGACAAAGGAGGCAAAATTCTCAGCTTCCCGCCTCCCAAATGCAAGAAAAAGAAACCCTTTTGTGAGAAACCCTGAGATTTTCATCGTCAAAGAAAAGGGAAAAAAAATGGTGAAATCCAAGAAGACAGAAGCCAGCAATTCTAACAGAGAGAACCCGGATGTGTTAGAGAGAAAAAGATTGAAAAAACTTGCCATAACCAGCAACATAGTATCAGACGCACAAGTCAAGGCTCCATATTCATTGAACCCATCAAAAACTGTTGCAAAACACCATGGTAAAGATATTATTAGGAAATCTCAAAGAAAGAACAGGTTTTTGTTTTCATTTCCTGGTCTTCTTGCTCCTATTAATGGAGGTGGCAAGATTGGCGAGCTCAAAGACTTGTCCTCTAAAAACCCTGTTCTTTACCTCGATTTTCCTCAGGTTCTTAAAAACACTTCTGGGTTTTGTTTTTTTTTGTGCTTCCATTTATGGGTCATTGTGATTTTGGTTTTTGTTGGTGGTGGAATGGGGTTTGTGAATGAATAACATGTTGTTTGTGTTTTTGTTTTGCAGGGACAGATGAAGCTGTTTGGGACTATTTTGCATCCAAAGAATAGATATTTGACATTGCAATTCTCTAGGAGTGGAAAGAATGTTATGTGTGAGGATTATTTTGATCACATGGTATGTTTCTTTCTGTCTTCTTTTAACTTAGCTAACCTGTTGTTTGTTTGCAAACTTTACTCATTGTCTTGTAAGTGTGATAAGTAATTTGTCCATTTGGTGATGAGCCCAGATTATATTTTCTGAGGCATGGTGGATTGGAACGAAAGAAGAGAACCCGGAAGAATTGAAACTTGATTTTCCCAATGAACTGTTTGAGGTTGTTTCTTTTTATTTATGTCTGTCCTTTTTTTCTTTTTTGTTATATTTTTGAAAGAAAGGGTTATGGAAGATATACTTGGTAATCTATTTTTTCTTATTTGATTGTTGGTTTCAGGGAAAAGGTGTTGAATGTGATTTTAAAGGTGGGGCAGGAGCAGGATCTGTCAATAAACAAGTAGTTCAGAAGAGTGATGGAACCAAATATGTAAAAGAAGAGTCTTCTGAAACTGAGCTTGATGATGATTTATCGGATATTAACAATGATTTTAAAGATTTGAAGGAAACTACCCCAATTCGGCAATCTGCAAGAACTTCTGGGAAAAAATTCAAGTAATGGCTTTGCTTTTGCTTAATACATACACACACTGCTTAGATTGTGTAAAGATGATGGTAGTTGCTGGATTTTCTCATTGTTCTAAATACTGAGTTTGTTTGTTTATATTGCATTATTGAGTACGATTGCTGTTTCTCAATGAAGCAATTGTCTGGATTCTTATTGATGGATATTTCATTTTCCTTTTGTGATCTTGTTAAACAAAGGCTAATCTTGATTACCTCTCTAGAAGGGAAAAATAAAATAAAAATCATCTTGCAGAGTTCCGTATAGCAACGGTCACTGATTGTCCTAAGTAGCAATATCAATTTTCCCTAATGATAAATTGGTGCAGTTTCTGTGACACATTTGTTTTCCATTTCTTAGCTATCTGCTGTTCAAGTTTCTATTTCAGTAAATCTCCAATTAACCTTGTATTTTAGGAATATGGTAGTGAAATCTTCAGCCTATTGCTGAATCAGGTTTACTGAAGTTTCCTCGGGAGATGATTCTGCTGAAAGAAGTCCTGATGCCTTGGGGGTGGAGGAGGAGGAGGAGGAAAAGAAAGTAAGCAGAATGCTTGATATTTTATTAAGAAATCATAAGGTTGATACTTTGATAGTTTCATGTAATTTGATCAGTCAGCATGGCATTCCATATGCTTCTGCTATTGCAAGCTTTCAGTTTTACATTTTTTGTCTAATTTCTTTGCTTCTGCTGCTTCAGTAGGAATTTTTTTTTTTTTATTGGTCTTTCATTTACTTGTTGAAGCATTCCTTACTGATCATTTGATTCCCTGATCTATCTTCCATTTCCCAGGTGAAAACTAACATGTCCTCTGGTATAACTCTTGACATTGAAAGTGAAAGTTCTAGAGAAGGGAATCATCTTTCTGAGCAAATTCAAGCATCTATAACCAAATCTAAAAAGCTTTCTGAGTCTGTTGCTTCAGTGACGATACCTAAGGAAAACTCGAATAATAGTCATGGTTCACTTGTTCAGCCAACCATATCCACGTTGTTCAAGAAAGTGCAGGAAAAGAAGAAAGTGGTGGAAAAGGTTAGGTTGGACAACTTTGAGGCTAATAGCTGTCTAGTCAGAACTTGTTGAGAGGCTATAATCTATAGTATTTTGCTACCATATAGGTGCGACATGCTAGAGTTTAGAGTTGTATGAATGCACTTATCTAGGTAGACTTAACCCTTTTCAATAAGGTATAAGGTCTATATAAAGCAACAGCAGCAGTTTTATCATTTCCGGGTGTGCCGTCTTATGGGTAGAGCATACATGGAGCACATGTATGCTATTTATGCATGGCACTATGCATACATGCAAATCTGTGTGTAAGATTTCTTGTTTGAATTTAAGCTTCGTGTTTATCTATTACTAGCAATCGTTAGAATAATATAAGGGACTAATATTTCAGAGGGAGTCATAACTGCTAAACCCTCCATCTAGCCTTATCCAATTGTATGCTTATTTCATATCAAATTTTCTCATTCATGTCCACTTTCCCCACAATTTTCATCACTGCTAACAATATCTTATTACTAGGATGAATTTGAATAAAACCAAGTCTGTTAAAAGTTTTTAACAAGAATTATTCCTTTTCATGACCAGGAGGCACCGAGAAATTCAAGGAAATCCTCATCATCAAAAGGTTTCTACCTTTCCTGTTTTCTTTTCTTGGTATGCAATATTGAAAGTTGAAGATTCAGAAGATATGTACTATTGGTATTCCTCAGATTCTGATCAGAAGTTGCAGAAAACTGATTTGAAAAGGAAGATCGATCTGGTGAGAGCTAGCTTTGAATTCTGATCTTCTTCACTCTCTTCTCCAATTTCAGTTTTGGATCTTCTTTTCCTTACATAGAACTGCTTGTCATGGAGCAATTCAGACTCAACTTGTGCAATGTATGCATTTCGTGTTGCAGGTTGAAGCACCTAGGAAAAGAGGAACAGTGACTGAAGGGAAAAAAGCTGGTTACTCTCTTGCTCTGATTGTTTAACAGTTTTACAATTACAAGTGTTGTCTTGATGAGGATTTTATTTTTGTTTTAAAAAACATATTTCAAAAAGGATTTACTGTGTTATTTTTTGAAGTTTCCTAGTCCATTTTGTATGTTGTGTGGATCAGTGCATCTAAAGATTTTACTGTTCATAATGCTTGGGAAAGGCACACATTGTTAGCCCTGTGAGTTTTTTGCAGCATTATGTTTTTTTAAAAGAAACCAATGAGTTTTCTCATGCAGACATGTGCATGTATGCACAAATGTCCTGTGCCTATAATGAAGGTTACTCAATTTAAAATATTTTACCCATGTTGACGTCTTGGTGATTCTTCATTCTAAGCTTTAGTATGTTTAGCCTAGGTTGATATTCCTAAATAATTAGGCAGCTTCAGCAAATTTATCTAACCATTGATTCGGATGTTATCATAGGGACGGGATCCAAGGCAAAGAAGAAAGTGAATGAGGTATGAATTGTTTTATATTTAAAAATGATTTCCTTGATTTGTGTAGAAGAAAACAAGAGAATGCTTCTGTTTTTATTTTTCCTATTCATTCAAGGATGAAAACCTTATGATTAGATTCCTCAACTCTCGGAAATGCCTCTATTAATTTGACAAATAGCCGGTAGGCATGTATCCATATGCTGAAAGGAAGTCTCAGTCCTAAAAGTGCTAGAGAATCAATTTCTTTCTTTCTTTGTTTTGTTTTCGTTTTTGTTTTTTTTTTGTTTTTTTGAAATAGGCATCCTTGTTTTATTATTTTTCACAATGGAATGAATCTTTATGAGTACTTACATGGAATTGTTCTGGGACTTCACTCTGTGATCGTTTTCCTTTTTCTTCACTTTTTTCTTCCAATTTTGGCAAACCTCAACCTGTTGGCTAATGCTCTAGAAGTTAATGCCTTCATTTAGAAAGCTCACTGTTCAGGGATCCTGTTTGAGGATCTATGTTTTCCTTTTCTTTGTATATTTGTGTTGACTAATGATTACAAAAACCATGCAGGTTGAAGATGATGACATTGAAGAATTCTCAAGCTCATCACAGGTGACATCCCATCAAGTTCATGTACTTTTATATTGTTTTGCAAACTTCAGAGTTCAAATTTATGTGACATGAAAATGTGCAGAAATTTGATGTTTCAATTACTGCAATCTTGTTAATTGAAGCAACATTGTCAGTAATATCCCTTGACACTTGTTGGTGAGTGCATTCTCGTATATGTTGGCATTTATAGATTTAAAACCAAGTTTGTTGTACTATGCATTTTCTCAGGGTACTGAAGAAAGTGATGAAGACTGGGAAGCCTGAGATTGTAACTCAACTTGAGTGGATGGAAATACCAAAGGAAACCTTGAACTTGCATATAGGCATTTGAACATCCAAAATTCTCGTCTGTAGGGAAGGCATGATGCAATATGTCTGGATAGTATTTCTTGGTTCTGTTCCAATGCAAATTTATTCATCCATTTCTGATGATGGCTTTGGAACTGGCAAACATAAGGTTCAAATCAATATTAGAAGAAGAATCAGTCGGTAAGCAGCTTTGCTCTGCCCATACGACGAGTCAAATTCAGGAACAAATTTCATGAATGAGGTTTTCTTCATTGTACGATTCAAAAGCCAGGGACTTCTCATTTTTTGATTTGCCAATTTCCTTAATTATACTATAGTCATTTGCAATGAGGGTAAGGACCCTGTGATTGGGGTTCGGTTGAGTTAAATTTGTTGTGTTCTATCGTTAGTCACTAACTCACTATTGCTAGTTGGCTCTTGAGACTACTGCTGATATTGCCTCTTCCGCGTCAATGTCCTTTTACAGATTTTATTAAGAAACCTCAATAAACTCGACAAATCTACTCAACATTGTTGCTGCTTTGCTGTAATGAATGGATTTTTTTCTTCCTCGTTTTAATGCGATTTAGGCAGCCATGTTGGGGATTGAGAATTAAGGATATGGATACATACATATTGAACAGAGGTGTTACTGATAAGGTGGAAAATGTTAATCTACAGATCACTTCAGTATTTTATAACACGGGAGGAAGAGGGAAAGCAGGAATAAAATACTGTGGAAGGATATTTAAATGTCCATTGATGCACCAACAAGCAAGTCCATGTATGAGGCTCTTATGACTAGGATCCCAAGAAGTTATCAATCCTGGTGTTGGTTGCCCTAGAGAAGAACCTCATACAAATTGGTGCTTTAACCCCTGCAAGAGCAAGTATCGAGCTCGGCAAAGTCCATATTCCATCCCCACAAATTAAACCAGAAGCTACAGCTGGTGCAAAAGCATCTGCCTTGGCCTTGTTTATCCTTCCCCAAACGTACAAAATCAAGCTTCCAACACACATATCAATGGCAAAATATGGCCCGATATAGAACGGTATAGCCATTGCCATTGGAAGTGGAATGAACTTTGCAAATTTCTTGCATTTCCGCTCCATTACATCCTTGAATATGTTGATCAGAATAGCTCCACAGAAGAAGATGTAACAAAGCTTAAGGCAATTCTTTGGTAGACTTGAGAAACCCTCTACCCCCAATATAGCCATGTTACGGTACACAACAGCAAAGGGAGCGGGATATTGACTGCCAGGAAGGCCGAGGTCATCAAAAGCCTTGTAGAAGAGCCAAAAGACGCATGGAGAGATTACACAACCCATTGCTGTGCCGATGACTTGACTGACAAACATGGATTTAGGTGAAGCCAGAGTTAGATAGCCTGTCTTGAAATCTTGCATCAGGTCTGAGGCTGTTGAGACAATGTTCATCATGACTCCACATGCTGCTAACCCTGCTAAAACTCCACCATGTGCGGCTCCAGCCCATGCCCCAATTGTGAAAATGGCAAGTTTTCCATATGTGGATGCGAGGGACCAATCCGTTAATCCACATCCGTAAGCATTACAGAAGGCTAAAGTTGGTGCAAAAGCATAGATGACCAATATGTAGTACCACTTCAGTTGGGGAAAGATGTGTGGAAGAGTAGCTGTAGAGACGGCAGCAATAACAACGTAACCTGCAACAGCAAACCATGCTGGGATTTGATCTTTTAGAAATAGTTGGGTGCGACGCTGGTCATCGTAGGAGGCCGTCAAGGTATTGGGAGGGGCACTTCCATCAACTGGAAGAGCCATTTTGGGGTCTTTGCCTTGGAGTTGAATATACAAGCCAATGAGGGTTCGGGTTAGTACCTTGCAGAAGTTGTACAGACCATCCCCTAGGATCATGGAAATGGATATAAATACCTGAAATCAGAATTTAAGCCTTACGGTAATTTCCATGAATGGTGAAAGTTTTCAAGAAGCAAGAAGCATATCAGAAAATGTGCATACCTTGTAACCTTGAAGACCACGTAAACTCTTAGGGCTAAGTTCTGCAGAATACCAATCATTCTTTCTAGTTTCTATCAGAGGCCACATTAGACCCCATGAAAGAATGCCTCCAAGCAAGACAGATGCATTAATAATGTATGGACAAATCATTCCTACTCCGACATATGTTGCTGAGAAATCGAAGAAAAACCTGTAGAAAAGACCATGACAAAGAATTAGCCAAAACATTCAAGAAAGTATATGGAAGCACAACGTACCTTGATAATGAAGACACTTTTTTCATGACCAGTACATGTTTCTTAATTCAAAACGAAGAATAAGGAAAGAAATCAAGAAATGTACGGACATGTTGTCATATGCTTTGAGTCCAAATGTAGGGAAGTTAGCAAATCCACAGTTGTCTTCAGCCTTGAAAAACCACTGGAAGAAACCCCATAAAAAGCTGAAGGAGAAGAACTTTCCGAGAGCTCTTACTTGTTTCCTACGAAAGTACAGAACAGACAAAATCAAGATGATACAATGTCCAAATTTTCATTTCATCTTCACAAAAACCAAGCAGTACAAGCTCAGTCAGTGCTCTTACTTAGCTAGCTTGGCTCCTTCAGGGGTGTGGAAGCTATTGATAAGATGAGCAGTAGCAGTTCCACTTGGATATATTAATTTGAAGTCTATGACCATTATCTGAAAACAATTGGGTTACGAGATTTGCAGATCAAGAATGGAAAAGGCAAACCAACAATTTGTTTCAAACATTTGTGCAATATTCATATTACAGATCAAGAAAGATAAGTCCTCGTTGCGTTAGTACCTTCCGTAAAGGCACCACCGAGAAGAGACCGAGAAAGCTAACAACAAAGAGAAAACCAATAATCCATCCCAAAGCTGGATCTTTGATATCTTTCGCGCTAGGTTGATCAGCTGATTCCTGGGCAATGCGTCCACTCATTCCGAACAGGTAACTTCCAAATCCTCCTATATGTATATTAAAGAATAGAATGATCAGGCTCTACCATGAAAGATAAAAGCATACAAATCAATGGTAGTATATCATAGTAACACCAAAATTGTTACCGCTAAAGGCGATGCCAGAGGAGGCCACAACACATGTCTGGATGACAGTGTTCTCTTGTCTGGTAAATGGTTGCTTCAAGAGGCCACAACTTTCCAGGAACCTTGTCCATGTCTTCACAAAGAAAAACCCCAAGAGGCCAGCAGAGACATTAAGTGAAGGAATAATTCCTGCTGTGAGGTTCAGCTTCATCACTATGAAGCTGAACAATACGCTCAGTATAAAGCTCACCCCAAAGGCCCTCCTTGTCAGCTGATTTCTCCATGATGGCACTCCCTGTTTTGCGAATATTCTCTCCACTGATTCCTCTCCTTCTTCCTCTCCTTCTAGTTTCTTGTATTTGTTGTTATCACCATCTGCAATTTCCATATCTAAACCATTCTCTACTTTCTCTTCCCTTCCGTTTTGATCCATTTTTCTTATCACTATGACTATGCCTTTTGTTTTCCACTACACGAACAACGCAGGATCTTGCCTTTTAAATTACAAGATTGGAAGATAAGTTAAACAAGTAATAATCACAGCAAGGTGAAAATTAAGGATTCTATGATAGACTATGAATATATTTGCATGGGGCCGAACGTATGATCCAAATGACAACTTATTAATTTATCATGCTGACCTCCTCTGGTCTTTGCTCCTGGGGCTTAGATGCCGTTAAGAAGACGGCGATATTTGTCTATTTTTTTAACTTCTTCTCATTTTCATAGGACAAACCTAGAGAAAAATAAGACAACGCTTGTACAAGCGATCACTTCAACTTATTTGTTCAGCTACGGAGATTGCTATAGGGTTCATCGCTAAACCTTTTATCGTCATTTATTTTTCTACTTATTTTCCCTGTTAGACAACTAAAGCTATGGTCTTGTTCTGAGACTGAGAACAACATAGCCGTTACAGACTGGCAGGCTGGACCATCTAGTATCATAATATAGCAACTCTTCAGAACCTGACCAGATTGAGTAAAATGCAGGATATTGCATACTGGTGCAAGACTATACTGACATTAACCAGAAACACAGCAGCTTTAAAGAATTGAACCCACGACAGCAGCTGTATTTGCAAAAACATAATAGCATCCACATAAGGCATCACCAGCAGAGATACGGGCAGAATAGTGTGTAATTCACTGTGCACCCAAAATCAGTGCAAGTGTAGAGGAGAATAGTATAATGATTATTTTGCCCTTCTTGAGAAACTTGTTTGCTTAGCTTTTGGGGACAATATTTAATTGTGTAGGGACCAATTAGTCATTGTAATATTTATTGAGGTCAAAGGAATCTTTTTTTTTTTTAATTGTACCGTTTAATGGCTAGAATACCTTTAAAATCAAAATAAATCTACCTCCAAATTCATCTTTTTGCTTAAAAATACATGGTCAATCTTCTTGGTTACCTCTTAAATCAGAATATTTTAAACTTGAATTTAAACGCTTATTGGTCTTTTCAACGTGGTCTTTTTGTAATTTTGGGTCCATACAGGGGCAACTTTATATTAAAAACAATAATAAAAGCACACTGAATTTAACTGGCTACCCCTATAATCAATTGGAAATTTTTAAGCTGGGGTCTAAGGGCTAAATTGTCTTTCCATATTTTTGTAATTATAGCGTCAAAACATGTGCAATTTTAAATTTTAAAAATAATAATTTATGTTTTTCAAATAATATTTACTGGCGTGCATGGTGCACAAGCCAGCACTTGAGACCACTTCACACACTTCAAATGACACGTGGGAGGTGGAAATTATGCAATCAATCGTAGTGGCATTTGAAAGCCAACAACATGTGCAATTGTATGTACGATGGTTTGACTTTATCGACTTTTTCTTTCTTTCTTCATTTTCTCTTTTAACCTCGGAAAACACATTATCCAATAAAAAATTCATAGTGTCCTTCTATTTTTTTAGATATTTGATTCAGTCCTCGAAATATGTTTTTGTTGTATGAATTTCATATTTATTCCTTTTATAAATTTTAATTTTTTTATTTCACCCTTCATTAAAATTGTAATATTTTAAAAGAAAAAGAAATGTTTTAATAGCGAAAAATATTTTAAACGATAATCATTATTACAATTTCAAATATACATTCATTTCATTTTATTTATTTTTATATTAAACAGTATTTTCGAATTGGGATCCAAATTCCTTACCTTTTCTATTCAAATTTATTTTTAATTTAGACAGTATTTTGTATTCAAAATTTATTTTTTCTATGAAAAAAAGAGAATTAAAAAATAAATTATTTTTAAATTTATATGAAAATATTCGTATCATTTTTTTTATTAAAGAGAAATGAGATTAGATGTGATAATTACTATTTAAATGATGATGATAATGATAATAATAATGAAAATAAAAATCCATGCATCATGTGATATGCTAACCAAATAAACAAAATTTAACTCCTTAGAGACCACAGACTCCATTTAATTTGGGTTTGAGAAATTGCTCCTCGATCCCACAATCCTTTGTTTTTTAATTTGTTCAAAGTGATGGATGTGGCTCTTCCGTCTTTGGAAAATAGCCAAGATTATCTTTTGGCCTTGCTTGGCTCTTCCTCATTTATGAAAACCAAAGCAACGAAACCAAAGCAACGATTCTAATATCCAAAAAAAAAAAAAAAAAACTTGGGGGTGGAATGAAGCAAGCTTACACAAGCATGACTTGCCCTAAATTTAGAGGCCATGTATATACACTTTGGAATTCGAAAGTATTTTCTCCTCTAGTACTAGTTAAATGAAGAAACATATATACTAGAGGCAGGCACTTCAAATATTTATTCCATATATATTTTGTTATCACTCAATGTATATATTCCATATATATTTTGTTATCACTCAATTTGGATCCAATTCTTAACCTAAAAAAGAATTGGATCATTTTAGATGAAACTCAATATATTTAAGAATGATAATTCAATATTTATCTAAAACTCATGTAAAATATTGATGACAACATTTATAAATTAATTATATAAACTAAATAAATTATCAATACTTAACTAATTAGCTATTATTGATTTAATTTAAACTTATTCAATCTATTTTAATAGTATTCTTAAATCATTATTAGTTTTATACAAGAATTTAAATTCTTCTATGTTTATTGAAATTCTCAACTTAACAATGAAATTGACAAAATATGAAACATGTCCATTAAATAAGTTATTATTTGTTTCATTACAAATATCTAAATCACAAAATTGAATTCAATTTCATCAAATTACAAACAAATATAATTTTTCTAAATCTTATATAAACCTTAACATATACAAATCATACATTAATATAACAATTTTTTATGGAAAAAGTTATAAAACAAGTAAACATACAAATAAAACACATATACTACATCAAAATACCCAAAAAAATTAACATTTGAAAAATGATTTACAACAAAAAAAGAAGAAGATAATTTTGCTTACATGATATGGAGAATCTTAACATCTTTTTGATATATAATAGATATAGTGTTAGGTTGGTTGAATTTGTGATGAAAAAAGCTTGATTTATGATAAAATAAAAAGGTGAGTGGTTGCTATTTTTTGCCAGGTTATAACTGAAAAATTACCAACAAATAATAGCATCGGGTTCATTGTGCTGGTAATATCATCAGTAATAATAACACATTTTTTTTTTATTTTTCTCATTCCATAATTTCTAATTATAATTCTATCTACATATACTGGCAAAATATTTCTACCTGTATATGTCAAGGAACATAGCAAGAAAATAGCCTCTTAATAAATATCATTGTAATTTATCAATAATAAATGTTACATTAATATTTTCATTCATGTTTGTCAATTTCTAGTAGTGTGATGGATTTACTTTTATCATTAAGTTTATTTCCCTAGTCAAGACTAGAAAAATTATTATTAAAAAAAAATTGATTTAAGGTGTGAATTATTCAGTTATAAAAAATAAAAAAATATGAGTTCTAATAATCATAATGCAAGGACATTTTTTTTATTAATCCAACCATTGGCTTGCTTATATGTATATTAGGGATTAATGGTTACATTTTATTGCTCAAAATGTTTTTAAGAAATAAAAACTTGGAAATCATGGTTTTGTATTGTTTCACCATCACAAAGAGAAAATTGGACCCATTAATTTTGAAAGGTCTGAGTCAGAACATCCGGGAATCTCGTAGTCATTGTAAGAGATTTATTAATGGAGATTATAGGATAATTTAAGTTGATAAGTTCAAGCAGTTAACACCTAACTATTTTTAATGAGATCATTGAATGATACGTCACAACAAAGTCAATAAAATAAGGTTTTAGATTCAAAAAATCAATGAATTTGTTTTTTCATCTATTAATTATCATCAAAGCTAAAATCACAAAACATAAAATGAGATCATTGAATAACATTATTAATGAATTTTTAGGGGCTGTTTGGAATTGCATTCTAGATAGCATTTCATGAAAATTTAAATTTTTTTGATAATTTTTTTTCTATTTTCATATCATTTTAATAAATTGATGTAAAATAATTTTCTAAAAATAAAAAAATATTATTTTAATATATTTATAAAAAAATTATTATTATACTCTTTAGCACCCCTTGATATCATTGTAATAGAAAATCTAAATTACTAAATGGCATGATTCCAAAATCCTAAAAATCTAAAATAACATTCTTTTTGAAACATTTGTTTATTTAATTACAAGAACAAAGCAATGAAAGCGTGAATCTACATGGAATATTTTGTTACAATGGCAGTAACACTTGCAAGTTGACTTCATAGTTACATATAGGAGAAAATATTTTTTGTTCAATTCAATTTTTACTTGAAAAAACTAACCAAATCAAAATTTTATTTTTTCTTAATTTAGAACCAAAATAAAAATAAAACCGATTCAAACCGATCATTTTTTATTTGGTTTGATTAATTAAGTAAAAAAATTGAAAAAACTGATACTATCAAGTTATGTTTCATGTGAAAGGCAAGCCAATACCAACAAATAGAGAAGATGGATGGTGAATTGATTGGTCTAAATGACAAGGATTTCAGCCGTGTAAAAAGTGCAAAATAATGATTTAAATGACAAGATGATTGATTATTACTTAAAAATGTATTTTTATCAATGTTTCATATCATCATTTTGCACTTAAAGTATCAATAATTCTCTAACTATAACATGTTTTATAATAATATATATAATAATATAAGATACCTTTAATTTATGATAAATATTTATTTTAAATGTAGGCCTATCACATAAATGAAAGGATTGATTGATGAGTTTAACTACTGAAATTGAAAAGACAAAGAGATGGTTAAGCTTAAAAAAAAGATGCTAGTTTAGTCCACATTGAAACACTATTCAGTTATTAGGTCATATCTGGAGCTATAGATTTTGGATTTTAGTTTGGTTTATATGACTAGAAAGATAAGATGTAGGCCTAAAACATTTATAAGAGTCCAAGACTCAATTCAGCTGTTTGGAATTCCAAAGTTTAATATTAAAACAGAAGTCGGAATCTGTCCTATAACCTAGACACTGTTCAGTATTCAGCCCATATCTCAAGTTCTAGAAATCCAAATGTACTGATTCCTTTTTAATTAGAAAGTTGAGACAATTTTTTAGAACTTTCATGAAGCTATCTGTTTAAATTCTGATGTTAGCAATGACGTTTTCTGCAAATAAAAAGATGAGGATTGTTACCAAAGTGAAGATGTGGCCACCCACTCAAAAATTAGTCACCAAATTAATAACCAAATTAATAGTTTTAAATTTTGGTTTATAAAAAGAGACATTTGCCATATATTTAGGCATATTGATTTTTAGATCAAGATCATGTTCTTGCTCTCTTTCTTTATATTTTTGTAATGTTTAAGTTTTACTTTCATTAATCTCTTATTTATGCCTTTCATTTCCTTTATTACACTTATATAATCATGTTCTCCTCTTGTTTATCTATGTTTCTTTTCTTCATTAAGTTTAACTAAGTTTATCATGTCAAGATAAAAAAGGTACACTAATGGTGTAAGAATAAGTATACTATAAACTCAATATGGACTTTAATGTTTGATACTAATATGTTTTATATTTGTTATCTTATTCACTCTTAATACTTTGCTTGTTAAATGGTTAATCTAGATTTATGTTGTATAACCCTTGGTGCAACAAATATTTGTCACTTTCATAGCTCAACCGTATGGTATAACCGACAACTATGAATAATTGACAACGTTCATAGGTATTAACATTATTCGCATAAGATAACTGACATGACTAAAAGATTGATGTCTTCTCCTAAGTGCAGGAGTGTCGAAGTAATAAATAACCCGGCAAGACC